ATCAGTCCAAAAAATAGTCAAATATCGCAGAGTCTCACTTGAAGTTAGGAAGTTCTGTTTTCATTTTCGGGCCTCTCCCTACGCTTTTGAGAATTGCATTTTTTGTTACCCCAAAACTAATTCCGTCGCTTTTACGCTCAAATGTAAATTATTCCTAGAATATGTAGTTTCCATTTAAGTTCCAAAACGTCTGCTATGATTGGGATAGATCGAAAGAGGTAACAACTGTATGCCACAAAAAAATTTGAACTACATGCAAGCAACTAGCTCGCACTAGACACATGTATGCCTTTGCATACCTATTTTTAAATATATAATATGATCCTATTGTTCAATCATCTGTCACTTATCGCAAAAAATCAACCGGAAATCAATTAACGCTGACTAATCTCTCACATGGCAAAATTCTTGAATTAAACTCGATCTACATCGTAAAAGAGGTTATCGTTCATCGTGATGGTAAGTAATAACAAACTGTGTAATCGTTTGTCTCACGATGTAGTCAGTTCAGATGTAGATCGCGACGTTTCGACTGCTTGCTGCTAGTCTTCATCAGGCGATGGGGTCGACTGCTCACTCGTTACCATTTGTATCAAGGCTATCTAATGCGATTGCATCGACCCCATCGCCTGATGAAGACAAGCAGCAAGCAGTCTAAACGTCGGGATCTGCATCCCAAGTGACTACATCGTGAGACAAACGACTAAACAATTTATTATAAACTTAATCTAGGCTATCGATGACCTTTTTACTTTCAGGAGATAAATTGTGTACATGTAACTTATTCTACAATTCGATGTGGGTAGAGCCTCATAAGAACGAAGTGGCAGCAGATAAACAAGTGAAGCACAATACAGCGTGAACGGGGGAAAAAAACTGCACTAGGTGCTGTCGGTGAACATTGTACACAGAAAGCTAAGAATTAGACTACCGTTAAATTGACTTGACATGAGCTAAAAATTACCTCAGCGATTTTTTCACAAATGGTGAATACTGCAATCTTGTGTGATCCAAAACGTATTGTTATTTTTAGTTTCTAATCGTGTCGTGTTTGTGAGTGATCTGTCACGTATCAGGACTATACCAGGACTTCGATTTTAATCGTTACGCAACCACATGAACCGATTTTAGTCGAATGATTTCGACAAACTCGGTAACCATTTGTATCAAGGCTATCTAATGCGATTGCATCGACCCCATCGCCTGACGAAGACAAGCAGCAAGCGGTCTAAACGTCGCGGTCTACATCCCAAGTGACTACATAGTGAGACAAACGAATAAACAATTTATCATAAACTCAATCTAGTCATATGTTTACTCTTATATCCGTGCGTTTTTGGGCTTCGATAATATTTTAAATGATAAATTGATTTTTTTCTAAGGAAATTACTCAATACGTATGTTATTATCCTAAGACATAATTGTCAACCGAACCCGATTTTTCGCAAAAAAATGCTATCGATGACATTGATAAACATAAAAGGACATCATACTGGTTAGATATTCATCACCGATAAATGATGTTATCCTCACGACAACAACCTTTTTACTTTCAGGAGATAAATTGTGTACATGTAACTTATTCTACAATTCGATTGCCACCTATTATGTGGGTAGAGCCTCATGAGAACGAAGTGGCAGCAGATAAACAAGTGAAGCACAATACAGCGTGAACGGGGGAAAAAAATTGCACGAGGTGCTGTCAGTGATAAACATAAAAGGACATAAAAGGACCGTTAAATTGACTTGGCATGAGCTAAAAATTACCTCAGCGATTTTTTCACAAATGGTGAATACTGCAATCTTGTATGATCCAAAACGTATTGTGGTAAAATTTCCGCACAGCCCCATACTTCATTATGCATTCAGTTCTTGAATAGAGAAAACAATGACTAAAACAATACATTGCCATTGGGAAAACAGATTTGTTTAACAATAGTATGGGGCTGTGCGGAAATTTTATCCGTATTGTTATTTTTAGTTTCTAATCGTGTCGTGTTCGTGAGTGATCTGTCGCGTATCAGGACTATACCAGGACTTCGATTTCAATCGTTGCGCAACCACATGAACCGATTTTAGTCGAATGATTTCGACAAACTCGGTAAGATTTAATCGATCGTTCGACTGTATGAGCCATTTTCTTCACCCTTAGTGACTTCTTTTTATGGTCAATTCAGCCTGTGTGCGGGCTAAAATAAAGACGGTCGGGAAGGTAAAATGTTTGCTAGCGCAGCGTAGATTCACTTGAGGTCGTAACGATATGTTTATTACAAATTGTAATAGACAAAAAGAACGTATTCAAACTGAAACTCGACTCAATATGGAATAATCTACAAACTTATCTCCAAAGGTTGAATTGTGAGCTCTCACTCGGAGGCCCACTTGCAATTGGTTTGCGGTCATGGAAGCATAACGATTTCACCTGGTTATATTATCAGCTCTCTGCAATATGCGTTAATTTAGGTCAGTCAGGCTTCGATGTCTCAGCAGTCATCAGAATAGAAAAAAGTTGGTTGAGATAAAGGTTTGTCCATTTGCGGCCTAAGATGAAATCTCGTATTCAAGCGGATTTCATCGTCAAATGACGCAGACAATTTCAAGGAGGGGTATTCGGTGAGCTCACACTTGCAGTTTCCAAACACTAACCTTTGCTCTGCGCTATCAATAGTTTCCGTCACATCTTAACGCTTCTATGGAGATTACATTTCTACTGGACGCATTCATCACAGAGTAGTAGCTCCACTTGCCGCAGGTTTTGGGTGAAATTTTGCTTCTGATTGTTTTCGCGTGTCGGACTGCGTGACATGGAAAGACTAGAACTACAGTAACCATGGACGCAGACTACAGAACAGGCGTCGTTGTTGCATTTTCGAGTCTTTTTTTAGGGCCTGTTTACATGGAGATGTGGGACCCCAGGTGGGGTGAGGTATCCCGCCTAGCCGTGGTCGAAAAATGAAACACGTTTACATACAATCTTACAACCCCGGGGTGCTGGGGTGAGGTTTCTTGAGGTTTTTGTTGCGCTTGCAATTAAGGAGTTTGAGCAGAGGCGTCCCAAGCTCACATCTCGAGAAAGACGAAAGATTAATTCTCGGACACACACATATATTTATTCATGAAAGCGTCACGCGTTGTTTTACGCGGTGTTAGGTTACGCGAGGAACCGTTGACTTCATACGTTATACGGAATAGTTTGGGAAACGAGATATGGCCGATTTACAACGCTAAATATTCTGAAATGCGAACATTTTACACTCCTTGTGTGTCTGTTGCGGTTTCTGGCAGGCCCTTAATAAAAAAATTAAAAAAACTATGTTAGTGTGTGAAATGGTATGTTGCTCTCACCAATCACCGCATTTGGGTTTGTATCTCGCACCAATCAGATTGCCGCACAAGGGTTTATATCTCACACCAATGATATCACAGCATTCGGATATCTTGCACCAATCACAGCGTTTAGTCATTCACACCAACCACAGCGTTTAGTCATTCACACCAATCACAGCGTTTTCTCGTACCAATCATATCACAGCTTTCTTGCAAATGATATCATGTGAAATCAGGTGGCTGTGCACAAAGAATGGCAAAAACAATAACTTTTGGGCTAATTTTGACAAGTGTAATGGTTTGTGGCCTTCGCGAGGGCCTCGTTGATTAGGGTCGAGATTTATCGGGATATGAAAGGTTCGAATTTAACCTTTTTGTATCATTACCCAGGCAGTGAGGCCTGGGTTTAAATTTCGGCTTTCTTTTTCTTTTTTTTCTTTTCCTCGTTCAGCCAGAAATCGCCGTTCGAGCTCTAAAGCGCATGCGTCAGACCTGCGTATGCGTAGAGAAGGGCAATTGAGCACATGATAAGTATTTCTACGAGTTGTAGTTGTAGAGAGCTAGTACGGATTACATGATTTCTTGGGCGATGAAATCACGTAATCACTCCTGTTGGCAATGTTTTGATGAGGTTGGGCTAGCAAGGCAAACGAAATGAGGATTTTTCAAATCTGGAAACTATCATCATGAAAGCCATACTTGTTCCCGGTAACTCATTCTTATTCTGATAAATTAGTTTTGAGAAGGATACAATATTTTATAACAAAAACTCGATGCATAGGTTGTGCAAAAACCTTTAATTTGACTATACTTTTATAGCCAATACCAGTCCCTTCAAATGGTAAAATGTTAGGAGGTTCAGAGAAAAAATAATCTGCCATACATCTGCAGGATTTGATGTAGTTATTTTAATTACAAGAATATTAACTGATACTAGGAGATTTAATAATATTAAAAAAATAATAAAATTTGGTTGAAAAATTGGAATTCAGCACAGGCTGGATAAACAAGGTTCTTAGAAAAAGAAATGTGTACTAATGAAAAAGCTAAGCAAACTTTTTTTACAACACCTGCCTGTACCTATATGGCATAAAGTAAAGTCTTTTGAAGTAGTCATAATCCCAGTTTCATATGTTGAAAACACATGCACATGCAGATTTCCTGTAAACCTATAGTTTAAGCCTGTGATGACTTCGAAATTTTGATGCACACCTAAATTTCATGTTTCTATTTATTCAGTTTAGGTTGGTGAGGTAAAATTGAGTCAAACATTCAAGATGTACAATGACAGGTTCAAGAAATTTTTCAAACTGTTCATTAACAGAGCAAACCTGCAAAAATGTTCCCCGGCATCTGAAACTTGGAAAATGTTGACCGATCAGCTTGACAGGTATGAAACCATCTTTTGGATTCTGCTATATTTACTCCCCTGGTCTGGGAAGTAAATGATCTTTACGTAAGGATATTAAAACGGTTTTCAAATGAGGTCCGCCAAAACAAAGTAAAGTACTCGTCACCAGCCACAAAATCTACAAATAGCTAATCATACAAGTAAACAGACAATCAGGCAATCGGGCAATCAGAAATATGGACAATTCCATGCAGTTAAACGTGGAAGTCGTAATTGGTATTTTACTTGGTTCTCGGGGCAAGTTTTTTTTGCCGATCGTCACGGGCAAATCGATTTCATTCCTCCAAACTGTGGGTTGAAGAATGGTCTCTCCGTCATCTCTGTCATAATTCAACACCGTCTGTATGTAGGCTTTGAGATGGTACGTGTCCTCTTGTCCTGTGAGAAAGGTGCCATTAGCTCGGAAATTGACTTGTTTGAAGAGTGTGTGCGCCAGGTTATTGGCTGGAGTTGTCATGCGATTCACAGTGTCATTGCGTGAAGTGAGATTGGCATTTCCCGTTGTCTTGAATCCCAAATACAATTTCACAAAACTTCGCTCCAGATCAATGTAATCCGATTGTCTTTCTATGTAAACGTGAATCGGAGTAATACTCACTGTTTGAGGTGGTACTTTGACGTACCTGTAACTGGCAGTAGAAAGACTCGTAGGTGGAATCGTGAATAGGTTGAGATTAGGATTGATAGCGGCTTGTTTTCGCGGCCATCTCGCTACAGATGATGTGTTTACTTCAACGTCTCCATCATTTATGGGTGCGTCAGCGAGTAGAACGGTTCTTAAATGGTCTTCTCTTCCTCAGAAACCCACCGCCTTGCTGACGATGATACCTTTGTCTTCCCTTGTACTTTTTTAAAATAGGAGTCACAGGATCATTCGAATATCCTGTACCCACCCCAATGATAGTGGTACTACAACGTATGGTACTGATACGAGTCATTTTTTAGGCTCCAAAGATACGATATCGTTCAACTTTCTCCTGATTTTTCGGTTCACTTCGTTCTTGAGTGCTATAGAAGCACCCCTCTTCGCTCCGCGTCCCACTTCTGACAAGGATCGCTTCTTCAATCCACTTTTAAATTCTTTCTTCACTACCTTTAAAAAATCTTGTCTCATACCACTTCGTACTTGTGGTGGAATGTCGCCTGGTACACCTGGTTCGTAGAACGGGGGTGGCGCACTCCAACGAAAAATACCAACTCCCGTTTGATTCGGACCCCCACTTGCTTTGAAACGTTTCAAACTACCTCCTCTCATGATGGTGTGTCAAGTAAAAGTACACACGTCACTTTAAATCTTTTTTATGGATCCAACTGTTATATTTAGCAGGATATCCTTTCCACTTGACGTACAATTTATCTTTTTGTCGCTTCAAGACTTTCTCCACTCTAAAATACGAGGATTCGTCCGATTGTAGTTTTTGTAAATCCCAGGCGTAAAACGTACCCTGTGACTTTGGCGGGAATCATGCGAATACTTCTATGATACGTATGATTATATTGATACACGAGTTTCGGTAAGTTGTCTACATACTTTAAGGTATTAGCCGCTGTAAAATATTTGTACATTTTAGATTTCACACTTCTATTAAATCGTTCGACAATACTGTCTTTGGCATCTCCGTGGGTGGAAAAATGACGAATGTTGTGCTGTTTCATCAGAGTCTGAAAGACTTGATTGTAAAATTCCTTTCCTGCATATGTCTGTAAGGTTTGAGGTTTACGTCCCTGAGCAGTTTTGAGGATCTTGACAAATGCTTCCGCGACATCTTTTCCTGTCATCTTTTTAATAGGTTGAGCCCACGCGTATTTGGAAAACGCGTCAATGACGACCAGAATGTATCTGAATCCTTTTTTCTGTTTAGCCAGAGTTTGCTCTTCCACCAAATCAGCTACCCATTGTTGGGCGATGTCAAACACGACGACAGGTTGAAACACACCTCTTCTACAACGCGGTTTATGAAGCGTATAGGCAAGATCCTTCTCTAATTCTTTTTTCGCTTTGAGACGTGAAATACCTTTAGCTTGAGCATATTGAGACACGCTCCCTAGACTGCCGACGACACCGGGTGTATCGTAATCGAGTATCTTCTTTGTCTCGGATTGAATCTTCCTTTTCTTTTTAGCCATTACAATTTGAACCAATGAATCACACAGTAGTAACCAATCCAATACTCTCCCAAATACTTTGCGTACAATCGATTCCACATATTATATGCATACTTTCCCTCGTAATATTGCATGAAAGTCATCAAGTGATGAATACGAGTATGGGAAAGATACAAATGAGGTTTCATAGCATGTTTATACACATCTTCTATCATAAGGGATGGAACCCAGTCGTAAGGTATTCTATACACGTCATCGTCTTCGTACACGAGTACCTTAATGCGTACACATACCCACGATACGAATCGGTAGTGAGCGTAACAATATAGACGACGCCACCAAGAACCCATGATTGAACAAAATAAGAATATGATTTCAATTAACACACATTTTATTTATCCGCATTATAACACTCAAGACACATGACCTCGTTTTCTAAAGATTCCAGTTCACTACTAGTTAGGCCTAGTCGTGGAGCTAACTTCCTAAACAACGATAATCCAATTCTCTGCGCAATATGTGAATGCTCTTCTTCAGAAAGCTCACCTTTTAAAAAATCCAAAAATTTACAAAATTCATTTTTGAAATAAAATCGTGAAAAATTCTTCCACTTTTTTAGGATCTTCTTTGGCTAATTCCTGAGCTAATAAGCACAGTTCTTCATCTGTGGGCATGCCTTCCTTAAATCTACGCTCTGAAAAACGCGAATTATACCATTTTACTTAAAATTAATATGAATGTTAGTAAATCTCTAGGATCTCCTTGTTCTAAGGCAATTAAAACCCATAAGTTCTTAGGCGTGACTTCGCCATTTACCGTCCGAAAATTTTTCAACCCATGCATCTACTCCTTCTTCTTCTACAGTTTAAAATAAGGGCAGTGTAAGATAACGTCGTCTATCTACGACAAAAAATGTCATTCTATGTCAGCACACAGAATTTGCTATGTTTTCCTGGAGGGTTTGTGACACCACCAATGGAATAGATTACTATTCTTCTGACGACATTTCAAATACATCTTTTGATAATTCATGTCTGACTTGTGATGCCACTGGGTATCATTCACCGCTATGTGAGGCAATTGGAGAACCAACAGTTCTTTGTAGTTGTACGACAGTTTACCATCAACCAACTGAAATAGAAACGAAGTTCACGTAAGTATAACAACGTTCAATGGCTTTCAAAACATGTACCTTGATTTACATAACTTACCTCCAACACCGAAGATGATGACGAAAAAGAGATTTCAAGCAGAGTTCCTGAAGGCTTAGCTGTGCGGAATCTCACAGAAGACTGACCTTTGAGTTGGCAGGCACCCTCTTAAAACTCTGTCTTGAGAATCTCTCAGTGTCTTTCACACCTGTTGAACAAGGACGTTTGAATGAATGGTTTACATCTAAGAACCCGTGATAAGAAATTGACGTTCTCCTTAGTTGGGGTATTTTAGGGTAATGCGACTCCCGGAAAATCAACGCTGACTGGAGGCCTGGATAATTTCTCTCCAATTTAACCCTTTAACTCCCATGAGTGACCAAGACAGTATTTCTCCTTACAAAATTAATACAATAGCAACCAGGTAAGTGATGAGAATAAAGAAAAACATCAATTTGGGAATAATTAGTTGATCCAATACTAAATTCTCTGAACTAACATCGTAAAAATTGTATGGTTGACAGTAGGGAGAATTACAAATTTGATCGTGGAGTTAAAGGGTTAGGAAACTAATTAACCCGAGTTACAACAACCTTTACCTGCCATAAATGACCAAGACATAATTTCTCCTTACAATATCAAAACAATATCAAGCAGACAAGTGACGAGAATAAAGAAAAATATCAATTAGAGAATTAGTAATTGATCCAATACTAAATTCTCAGAACTAACATCATAAGAACTGTATGATAGACAGTAAGGAGAATTAACAATGATATCTTGGCAGTGAAAGGGTTAAGAAACAGAAATTGCTGACACAACAGAAGACAGTATTTGAGGAACTCGGCCCTTAACGTTAAGGAAGGGAATCTTTCAACTCTAAGGATTGTTCACAGGGTTTTTGAAACCGGCAGATCTTCGCATACATTTAAATGCTCATAAGGTGTCTTTTATCATGCACAGCTCATGAACTGTTGTCTGCATCTTAGATACCAAGCATTTGAAAAGATTCCAAAAGATTCCATACTTTTCCGAACGCTTCAAACTAAAGTAAGTGCGAGAGGAATGTTCACTAACATATCCGTAAATAAAAATTCAATACCTGTTTCACAGCGACTTCCATCAAACCCAGTGGGGCAGCCACGAGAACTAAGTATGTTAAAAAACGTGCCTCGCTCGCAAGGTTTATATACGCACATGTTGCCCATTGCTTTACATTTAGCACTGATTCCGTCGTTGTTGTTAATGGCTGACTGAGGTCCAAGAACTTGATGTAAACATTTCTGATGCAGCCAGTAAAATGTTTGTAGATGACTGGGAATTTAACTGGTAGCTGCATAAGCCCACCAAGAAGAAGAGGGCCTGTCAGATCCAAGGAGCTAAAAAAAGTTTGCTTTTTATTCAAAACACGAAAACATTTCATACACGACTTTGAGAATTTAAAAAGGAAGTAGACATCAAGAATTATGTAAAGGACAAGAAGTGCAAAAAGTGTACATTTGTGATCAAAGAGCACTGATCAGGAAGTTCTAGCCCTTAAGATTACAGTTGACCCTTTGACTCCCAAAAACGAGAGCTCCAACAGCAGTTTGACATAAGTAATCTGACAAAAAAATCACTGCTTGGGGTCAAGAACATGTCAAAAACATCTAACAATAAAGGTTACCCACTATACTAAAATTATTGCATGTATTGACCCGCTTATAAATACCTAAACCTCTGATGATAATAACAATAATTAATAATTACAATAATAATTAATAATAATAATAATAACAATATTAACAGTTCGTATGATGTAAATTATTTCTCTATTCTGAATTTGCTTACAAATTTTAGAAATAAGCAATTCAAACAAATTGGAAATAAACATAGTAAATAAACGTCAACACAGTTTTTAAGAACCGCAACTAGTAAAAGGCAGCCAAATTGGCTTTTAAACAGAAGAAAGCCAACGAGTGGAACTCAGTGCAACTGAAAACAAATCCAGTGAGTGGCAGAGAGGAGAACTACAACCTGGGACAACCGGATGACAAGTCCTTAAGCACTTGGCAAGTCCCTAAGCAGGTGGCCAGTGCCCTAAGTACTCAGCCACTCTGCCTATTCTTGATGGTGTGCATTTACATAAAAATGTACCTGTAATTTTCCGATTCATCTTTAATTTGAAGCTGCTGTGATGCAGCAAATGGGAAGGAGGCTGCTTTGGTCCCAAAATTCACTGCCACTGCAAGTTTACAGTTGTCAACAATGATAATGCCAGTCTGAAAAAAGAAAAAAAAAATGATTTACTGGGTAAAAAACACTTCAAAAAAGGGTTACTTATCCTTGTATGTATTAAATTTTTTCAATATAAAGTGAAGGCTAACTCTGAGATCATCAAAGTAAAACACAAGATAACTTGGGATACTGGATTGTAACAGGGGGTTAACCCTTTAACTCCCATGAGTGACCAAGACAGAATTTCTCCTTACAATATCAATACAATATCAAGCAGACACATGATGAAAAAAAAAATCTTAATTAGGATTACTTGATCCATTACCAAATTCCCCAAACTAGCTTCAGAAGAACTATATGGCAGACAGTAAGGAGAATTATTAATGAGATCTTGGGAGTTAAAGGGTTACAGGTAAAGGTGAAAGTGTTGTTTGCTAAAAGGGTCAAAGCCCTTAAATCCTCCAATATATATACATAGCAGTTTACCCTTTAACTCCTAAGATGTGATTGTTAATTCTCCCCTCTTGCTGCTACACATTCCCTTTTAAATTACAGTTGTAGTTACCAGGATTTGGTGTTAGATCAAGAACACAACTTTAACTGATAAGTCTGAGTATTCTTATTACCTGTTTGCAGAATTATGTATGGATACCATAGGGAGAAGTTACATGTTAATCACTTCTAATAATTATGTATGGATACCATAGGGAGAAGTTACATGTTAATCACTTCTAATAATTATGTATGGATACCATAGGGAGAAGTTACATGTTAATCACTTCTAATAATTATGTATGGATACCATTGGGAGAAGTTACATGTTAATCACTTCTAATAATGAAAAGGTTCATCTCAGGAAAGTCACTTACTGAATTAAGGGCAGAAAGATGAGATATTTATTGAGTTATCCTTCAGCCATCTGAGATCACATCATTTTTTTTTTGCCAATTTGTAGAATTATCTGACAAAATTTAAGTGGCCTAGGCTACCTTTCATTCAGATGAGGGCATGCTGGTTATACAATTGTACAATGTACAAAGACATGATAAGAAAATGATAAAGGAAAAACCTAGATGGGAAATTCTAATTATTAAAACTGGGCAGTCATTGATGAAAGATTTAAGTTTGAAAAACAATGATCTGATTAGGATTCTGTATAGACCTGATAATAGTAGCACTCCAATACTACATATTATGCCCTCCAAAGGTTTTTTTGGGCCCAACTAAATTCTTTTACATATAGTCCACAACTGTTATTTCAATGAGATTTTACATCTACAGTGATGCAGTTTTGGAATATTACTCTCCCTTATCAGCCGCAAATTATTTGGTTTCTACCAGTAATTACCATGCCTACACCGAAAGAGAAATAATTCCAAAGTCTTTTTGTTTTCTTTTCTCTTAGTTAAAAATTTAGTATCAACAATATTCAAAAGGGATTGATATATTTAATTAGTATTTTCTCACAAGTTCAGACTTTTTGTTGTGTGATGCCCATTATTTTCCCATGACCTCTTCATTTTTTAAAAAATGCAAGTCATACTTCAACTTGTAATTACTTTTGAAAGAATACAATGAATTACTTATAGGTCATGCATTTTCATTGCACACCACTCAGTGCTATTGCAGTGGAAAACAAGTAACTTTGAATTCTCCCCAGTAAATAACAAATAGCAACTGGAGGGAGAGACAGGACTACATCCCAATTATTGATCTGAGAAGGAAATATTTATCTTCATTCCTTTATATTTTGACTTTCTTTAAGTTCAGAGGTTATCAATGAAGGTACTGTAATTTCCAGTCGTTTACCTGCACAGCCGATAACCCACACTGGCCGATTATTGCATACAGCGAAAAAAGGAGTTAACAGATTACCCGCACTGGTGAATAACCCACATGTTAAGTTATTCAACTTTTTGGTGGTAAAACGTGACATTAAGGCGATACATTTCAGTTTGAATAAGTCCATTAACTGCGCATCGAGTACAGGATAACTAATTAACTAACAACTAATTATGCATGAAATAAACTCGAGTCAGCATCATGTTTTTGTGCCGCCTTGTGGCACTTTTAATATAATAAAATTCATTTGAGAGATGGAAAGGCAGGTAGGTGAGAAATTTTTTCAATTCAACTTCCAGAAGAATTTAAAATTGTCACATAACCCGCACCTCCCTATTACCCGCAGTGGCATGCATTTAATGCAAAATCAACAGATTACCCGCAGGGAAATGACCGGAAATTATGGTAGTAGTTGTTTTCATGTGAAAATTTCAAGTTTGTTTTCTTGTTTTTGTCTTGTGTGGAGTTGTTTTTTTTTTAATGGATGATCAAGAGGAAAAACAGGCAAGTGTTGATTTTCATGAAAACTTTCTTGAAGTCAGAAGTTTTACCCTAATTGAGATGCTCTGTGAAATAGTCCAGTAATATCTATCAAAATATTAGCACAGAGAAGCAGATAATTGCAAAGTTGATCATGTCTTTTGGGTGGTTTGTTTAATCATTAATGAAAAAACATGTTTTAGATTTTTATTAGGTTTTGGCTTCCATGCAGAGAAATTTAACCAAGATTGAGTGCATGATTTTATGAAATTGTTCTTCAGAAAAAAAACAATTTTCAACTCTAGGAGATAAAGCTCTCTAATCAATTTAAATTATTGGAATTTGTGCATTGTAAGGAATGTCAAATGAAAAGTATAGCGTAACATACACCACTCCAAAACTGCACTCTTCAAATCAGTAAAAAATTCCATATATAATACAATTTTTGGCCATTTTTTCCCTGATATTGAGCAACCAAGCACACAATTGTGCAACCAGCAAATACCATGGTAATGTGAATGGTCAGATATGTTTGAGACATGACCCTCGACACTTGAATCTTAACAACTGAAGATAACATATTTACCCTCAAATTACACAAGAGTTGTCTACAGGCTATTGGCCACCAAAAATACATATAACCTTTAGAGTAATAAAAGTTTAAGCCACAAAATCACAGGACACTCATAAACATATTGAAACCATTATGTGAATATTGCTCTAGAAAAGCTCCAATCTGTAGTTTTACACTTTACCTGTAGGTACATGTCAGTTTGAAATAGTTTACAACTTTAAAGCAACATCTAGTTCAGAACTTTCCAAATTGTAAAGTACCAGAAAAAAAGTAACAGACTGTGATACAAAATAAATTGAATTTCTCATTGCCTCCTTCACCCTTCAACTCCCAGAAGTAACAAAAACGTAATTATAATATTCAAACATTATCCATTACACAGGTAACGAGAATACTCAAAGTTGATATCTTGATCTGATACTACCAGATTCTTGTAACTAATTTAAAGAAAATGAACAGCAGCTAGAGGGGAGAATTGACACTCAGATCTTGGGAGTTAAAGGGTTAACTGAACAAAAGACTTACATGGTATAAAAGGTTCTTGATGAAATAAAATATAACTCAACATTCATGTGCATATACACAAACAAAATGGAATTCATATCGCAAATTTTTTTTCAAAAAAGATTCTTACCCTGTTCTGAAATGCCACTTCTACTTTATGCCAATTGCCGTCAATGACACTGCCATTTACATTTGATGTAACAATAACTTCGTGGGAAAAAAGTGAAAACCTGAACCAAACTTGTCCTTGCCACACCTCCACAGCAATAAAGTTGTGTTTTCCATCATACCGTCCGTTGAGGAGCAAGAGCCCACTGTGCACAGTGGTGGCAAACTCCATCTGTATGTGTAAACGCCATCTTCGTTTCAGTGCTAGGAAAAATTAACGTCATCATTATCATCACATCAAAACAAACTACAAACAGTGCCATTGAGTAACAATCCATTCACCCCTAAGAGTGACCAGCATCTAATTTCTCATTGCAATATCACACCTAAATCACTCATTAAAGTCCCTAGAATAAAGGAAATGATCACCAGCTAAAGAAGCTCTTGATTGTTGTACAGTCTCTTTGTCATTTAAACCCTTTAACTCCCAGAAGTGATTAACATAAAACTTCTCCCCACAATATCCATACATTCTTCAGCAAACAAGTAATGAGAAAATTCAAACTTATCAGGTAGAAGCTGCTATCCTGATCTACTGTAGCACCAAGTTCTCGTAACTAATTTACAAGGAAATGTATAGCAACTACAGGGGAGAATTAACAATCAGATCTTGGGAGTTATAGGGTTAACTTAGGAAATGTACAGAGAACAGTATGGAGAATATGGGTACTGATGTTTGGGTGAAAAGGGTTAACATAAAAATTACCTTTTAGAAGGAGCTACATGAAGGATAGTAAACCAATACATTTAAACTCACAAAAAGCCTCACAACAATTGAAATTCTATCCCCCAACACAAGGTAGAAGAAGCACCTGGATTGGAACACAATGCTCCTAACATAGTATATGTGACTAACTTGTTTGATTTCAAGTCACCTCCCATATTAATAATCTATTCATTACACAACACCAGCACTTAACTTTAAAAACCTCAACATTCAAAAATTCATTGTATCTTAATTCTGTCAGTTTTTCATCCATTTTCAATCCTGTGTGAAATTCAGTCAAATTCAGTAAAAAAGAGTAAAGTCCACTTAAGTATCAAGTGGCCCATGCAGTCATGCAGAAGTGGCAAGTTTTAGAAGGGGCGCTTACTAAAAGTAGAAGAGCTTATTCTAGGAATTATAGAACATGTAACTACAAATAAATCCTTACCAGGAAAGGCAACAAATGATCCTTTTTCAAAACTGCACCTTTTCAGTTGGCACAGTGACCCATCAACTTCATTCAAATCTTTGCACTGACAGGTGAACCTGCTTCCAAGAACATTTTTACAACCACCATCACTATGGCATGGATTTGCATTTAGATGATTTTCTGTCACTTTTGAGTCTGTAGGACACTTGCTCTTTGACATGTCAATCTCACAGTTTACACCAGCTCTTCCTGGATTGCATATACAAGAGTAGCCTTCCTCTACACACACACACTTCCCATTGTTTCCACAAGGATTGGAGTAGCACAAGTTTAAACCTGTGTTGCAACTTTCTCCTTGATAGTCAGTAGCACAGGGGCATCTATAATTAGTTTGCACTCGTTCCATTGGAACGCATTCTCACATCTTCATCAAGAAACACTACATACGAACCCTTTTCAAATTTTGGTTTACTGTCACGAACATCTTCCAGTGTTATCTTGACTTTCACAGTTGACTTCATTGATGGTCTGCCTTTGTTGGCAGCAACCACAGTCAGTTCATATTTGGGAATTGTTTCATGATCAAGTTCTGATGACTCCCTGATTGCTATCAATTTGAAAAGCACCACCTCCATCACCTAGATGAGTATTGAAAAATACAACAACAACCACCAAAAATATTAATAAGAACACGATCATAAATGGCTTAATCAATACCTGTACTTGAAACCTATCAACCCTTTAACCCCTAAGAGTGACTAACATCTAATTTCTCCTTAAAATATCCCCCAGAATCACACATTAAGGTCACAAGAATAAAGGAAATGATCATAAACAAGAGAAGCTCTTGATGGTTTATCAAATTCTCCTTATCAGCACCTTAGGAAATGTATAAACAAAAGTATGGAGAATATGCATACTGATGTTAGGCTGTAGAGGGCCAACAACATTGTGCTTTTATTATTATGTAAAAACAAACACATTCAATGTTGCCATGGGTCTGTTCAGATCACAGCAGATGTCCAAATGTAAATAAAACAAAAAAAAAATTAACACAAGAAGCAGCCAAGAGTGTCACTGATTAGATTTTTCTTCACCCACTCTTGCTAAAACACGTCAACAAATTTTAGACATGCACCAGTGTTAGACAGTGTAGCTTAACATGAATTTTAAGTAAAAAGATTTGGAATGTTAAAAAAAAAAAAAAGCTACAGATTTTACATCTTTAACCCTTTAATCCCTAAGAATGATAAACATCTAATTACTCCCAACAGTTTTACCTCTGGATCAAACATTGAGGTCATGAGAAAAAAGGAAATGATCACAAACCCAAGAAACTCTTCATTGTTCTACAAATTCTCCTTGTTGGTTGAAAATGTATAGAGAACAGAATGGAGAACTTGTATACTGATGTTAATTAGCAGCAAAGGGTTTGTACCATTGAAAATGTATAGAGAACAGTATGGAGAACTTGTATACTGATGTTAAGCAGCAAAGGGTTTGTACCATTGAAAATGTATAGAGAACAGTATGGAGAACTTGTATACTGATGTTAAGCAGCAAAGGGTTTGTACCATTGAAAATGTATAGAGAACAGTATGGAGAACTTGTATACTGATGTTATGCAGCAAAGGGTTTGTACCATTGAAAATGTATAGAGAACAGTATGGAGAACTTGTATACTGATGTTAAGCAGCAAAGGGTTTGTACCATTGGAAATGTATAGAGAACAGTATGGAGAACTTGTATACTGATGTTACGCAACAAAGGGTTAGGGATTACTTAGCTATAAATGTCTACAAAACAAAAGGGAAATACAAATGAACACCTGAAATTGAAATATGTTATTGGGCTGATTCAGTTGATATGCACTACATGCAAGTATTTGGGGATTAAGAGGGGTAAGTTTCTAAAGAAACTATGGTGTTGCGTCAGTGGAAGATTGTAACAGGGTAATTCATTATTATCAACTGAGTTGATAACGTACAGATTGGCCACCTTAAAGAATTACGAAGTTAATGTTTCAAGCCTTGGCCCTTTCTCAGAGCCATGACAATGGGCTAACACTCGAAACATCAGCTTTATAACTCTTTATGGTGGCCAATTTATGTTACCAACTCAATTGATAGTACTAAATTACCCTATTTGAGGGTTACTTACACATGTAGCTCATGATGAAATATCAAACAATAAATTAGATATATTTACCATTTTTAGCAAATGAGTAGATAATGGCTTTATTTGAACCCTCATCATCATCAACTGCAGAGACTTCCAAAACTGTTGCAGGCTGTACATTTTCCAGAATGGGCTTTTCATAGTTGGCTTGTAAAAATCTTGGTTTGTTGTCATTTACATCTGCTACTGTTATATGTACATTAGCAGTTCCTTCAAATAGAGGATTACCATGATCGGTTGCACTCACTTCTGTAAATGATCTGTTTGTTTGTACCATCATCTGCTTCAAATGCAGTAACAAATATAAAGGTGTGTCCTACACTCCAACATTCTGAGACCATTTCTTGAAAATCGGAATTCACAAACTGAGGTGCATTGTCATTGACATCAATAAGATATATCTCCACTGAGGTTTCATTGTAATTTGGCGATTTGCCTTTGTCTTGAGCCATCAGAAAAAGTGTATGCACTGGAATGTACTCATAATAAAGTTTCTTGTTTACTTTGATCTGACCATTAAGATGATTGATAGAAAAAAGTTCCTGGTCTTTACCACTGCTAAAACTGTTGGTGACTTCACCATTGGTGCCAAGGTCCTCATCTGATGCACTTACAATCAAAACTAGCTCCCCTGTTTTGATGTTTTCAGGAATCTTTTTGGAGTATTCTCTCTTTAAAAACTGAAGATCACAGTCATAGACATCAGCAACAGTAATTCGCACAGTGGCCTGGTCTGTCTTAGGAGGGGATGAACTATCACTTTCCCGGACAGTAAGGGAGTATTGCTGTACAGTTTCTCAATCCAGATGTTTGTCTATAGTTATTGAACCACTACTTTGACCAATTGCAAATGCACTGCAAACACCACTTTTATTAATGATGTTGTAACGACTATCTGCTTTGGAACCTGTAACTAAATCGCGCGCTCGCACATCAAGGACCGTCTCTCCGATATAGGTAAATATTCTCTGGTATGACTTTGCTGTCAGAGGATGATTCGAAGTTCGGCGCGTTGTCGTTTACATCATTGACATACATGGTCAGATCTGCTTCAGCATACAACGATCTATCTTGTTCGTATTCGGCTTTGATACGAAAATAGTACGTCGGCATCTTTTCACGATCTCTTTTTTTTTCACGTTTTTATTAATCCCGTGTTAGGACCGATCCCAAATAACAACAGACTGAGTAAATTCTGGGACACTTCCATCGAGTATTTAATTTTCCCAGCGTACCCATTGTTCGTATCTTGTGCTTGAATCGTAATAACGCTTGTTCCTACGAAACGATTTTCTCTAACCTTAGCAATTAACTGAGAGCTGGAGAAACGGGGAACTGTTTTCTATGGTCGACGATGAAATCGGCGTACCTTCTTGGCAAAATTGTTTGCGTTTTTATCGATAAACAACTCAAGTCGCGCTACAATAACTTGTTTATTTCCACTCGCATTCTTAGAACCAACCGGAAATACCAACTCCGCTATCAGAGTGTTTTCTTGAAGTCTAAGTAACGATTTTCGAAGCACCAAATAATCGGATTTGGCGTCGAATCTAAAATACTTTCTCCATGGTGTCTCTCTAAGCCTTAGCGACGCATGATCTTCTTCGTGAATGAAGTCTTTCAATCGAAACACACGTGTTCCGACTGAAGTGGTCCAAGACACTTTTCTCTGAAGCTTTCTACAGCAGTTTTTTCCAAAAATTGTCACAGTCAGAGGTCTTTGAGTCCTCTCTGCTGAATTAAAAATGGAAGTCGATGATTGAGTAGAGATGTGCAGTCTGGCTTGCGAATCATTCGCAATAATCCGTTTGTTGAACAATAGACAGAATTTGAAGAAGAGTAGTGTGTTCGTCGGTGTTCGATGCTTCAAGCGTGTAATTCGTCCATCCCGGTCTACTTAAATTAGCTAAAATACTATACGGCTCTAAAGATGAATAAATATTAATAACGGTGCCGTCCACTCGATGAAAAGGCCACAGGCACAAGTGTAAAAGAAAACCCAACGATACGCGGTCGAAACAAGCCATTTGGCGGCGAGGCAAATTTCCCTTTCGTAAACGGTCGTTGCCATTTGAAACGGTCGATGCCATTTCTCAGAACAGTCGTTGCCATTTGAAACGGTCGATGCCATTTCTAAAACTAGCCGAGCAGACGACAGCCCTCGTGAATAGCTCGTACGCTGTTGGCACACTCGGACGTCACTTCCGGGCAGTGTTGTTTATAAGATGGCGGAGCAATCCACGTGCGCGAGAGTTGAGCCAGCTGAAACAGAACGAACCCATTCTCCTTGTGCAGAAACAAAAAAAAAATCAATTAAGAAGCCAACGGGGTGGAACTCCTTTATGCAGTCAGTTGCGGTGAGTTTGTTTTGTATTTCCCGAAATATTCAATCATTTTCAGCCTGGATAAAGTGCTTGTTCAAATAGTCTAAAACATGTTGTTTCCCTTACATCCTTTACATCCGATTACAAGTGATTAAGATTAAGTGATCAGAAATATCAGTGAAAAATAAACCGCATCTAAAATTTTCGTTTATGTCATTAACAAATATCTTATCTGTAAGTGTTGCACTTGTATTCATTATTCTTGTAGGCCTTGAAATTACATTCGATATAAGCTGATATAGTTTCCTCGTACTTTGTATCATTCCAAAGCCAGATGTCAAGGAACAACTTGGAAAGGGGGCGGGAATCGGGCAGGTTTCCAAAGTGGTTGGCAATATGTGGAAGAAATTGCCGACAGACAGACGAAAGGTTAGTTATAAACTTCTAACATTGCGAATGTTTGTGTATTAACCCTGCCCCATTTCAGTGGACTGCTGTGTGGTTTACGTGGCTAAATTTGTAAGGACCAAGAGTGTAAATGTTCTCGTCAAACTTTCCAATTAAAAGTATTTTAGGTTATGAATGTTGATCTTGAATCAAGCTGGGACCTCAAGCTGAATGTCAATTTTGTAATATAATGTTCAGACTTGTTATTTTTCCAGACAGAACTCTTAAATATACCTAGGGGATAGCAAGGCCCATTATAATGTACCAATTAATTTAACCTAAATTTTAATTAGAAATAACCTACATGTGGCGGATCCAGGTTTTGAGGAAAGGGGGGGGAGGCAAGGGGGTATTATCCTCAAAAAATTATGATAGAGGGTGAAAAAAACTGTCTTTGCAATCTAGTTTATATAAAAATAGAGGGGATCAAAAATACACGATTGTTCCCTAATATATTTCCCCCCTTTTAAAATATCATGCTATGATATTCATAGGACTGGAAAGATAAAGCACAGAGCTTGAGGGAAGACCTTGATATGGGAATAGCAGAGATAAAAAAATGTCCAACCTGCAGCACCCAGTTCACAAGGGAGAAGGACTTCAAATACCACCAGAAAGGTTGTCATGAGTGCATTTGCAAGGAATGCAATGAATCGTTTGACCATGAGCAAAAGCTAAAGAGGCATAAAGACAAGAAACATAAAGACAGCAACAAGTCTGATCATTGTCAAAAGACTTTTGCAGAGAAACGAAATCTTATAAGACACCAAAAGTCACATGTTTAATTAACCTATCCTGCATTTAGTGATTTTAACTGGAGATGATTTGAAAGGACTATTGGATCAATCTATAATACATAATTGTTTTTGTTTTTAAATTATTATTATTATCGATTTTTGAAATTAATTGTGGTCATTGCAGCACATGTACATCATGTTACTGTTCAAACCAAATTTTAAATCATTACAATGTTGTGTTAGACTTTAACAAGAAAGAATGAATTAAAACTTATTTTCAATTTCAAACCTTCAATCTTTTCAAAGTTTTACGTTTGTACAGCTTAATCTTCAGAGGATAGACCACCCCCCCCCCCCACTTTTTGGGTGAAATAACTGGAGGCCCAGGCCTTAATTTACCTGAGTATTAGTTAGCGCCCCATGTGAATCAATGGCTGAATTTTGCTTATAATTTTCCTCAATCAGGATATCAGCAAACAAACCTTCATACCCACAAGGTACTATACGGTTGTATGGCATCGTACCAATTATCTGAACCCATGGAAGAATCCATAAGTTCTGGCACATGTACATCATGTTACTGTTCAAACCAAATTTTAAATCATTACAAATGTTGTGTTAGACTTTAACAGGAAAGAATGAATTAAAACTTATTTACAATGTCAAAACCTCAATCTTTTTAATAACCTTGTTGTTCAGGGGCAGATCCAAGGAGAGAGGTTTTTAATCTAGGCAATTTGCCTTAAGTGAATTTCCCTCTATGTTAAACATTATGCGAACATTCCATTGTTTATTACTGGGATACCTGTGGTAGCCCAGTCATAAAATGCCTTTGTTTTTTTGTTTTTTTTTTTTTTTTTCCTCCGCCACAAAATGGAAAAAATTGCGCAATAGTACCCAGAGGTCATTGGGCCCTCAACACCATGACAACTAACTGTGATCCAATGAGGTGTTCACATACTGATCACGCGTGTTATCCCACAACACCATGACAACTAACTGTAATCCAATGAGGTGTTCACATGCTGATCACGCGTGTTATCTTGATGATGATTGACGTTGTCATGCACAGACAGGGCCGGGTCACATTACGAACACGAGATTTTGCGATACTTTGGTCAGTTGTTTTATATTTCAACGTATTTGGATTGCGATCTCCTGGAGCGTTATAGCGCAAACGCGCAAAATACTTACAGACGCATATACAAGTCGTATTAATCGCGGCTAATCCACACTGAAAGATGTTATTGAGCGGTAATTTTGGAACGGATTGAGCCGCGAACGCATGAAAGCCATGAAAGCCTTGAATGCCTTGTATGCTAAGTATGCCAATGTCTTAGTTGAAAAAACGTTCACTTGTTGTAAAAAGCAAAATCTGAAATCTGAAACCAAACTGCGTATACTCTATGCAATCTATTGAACAACGCTACCACCGTGAGACTGAAGAACATGACTATATGGGATGCAAACTGCTTGTGAAGAAAGACAACATGTTGGATTCACTTGATGGCAAGGAACGTAGCTACGATAACAGTACGAATGGTATTAATTTCACGATCAGAAAGGTGAATCTTATGTTTGTTTTCATTGTAGTTGTATGGATATTCTTTTTTTTTAATAAATACGTGATCCAAAACCCTGTGTTTTTTTTTTGTGTATAATGTTGTTATGTTAAATATTGTTTACGCAATTGTCTTGTCACAAGCGGCCCAAGCTCACGTCTCGAGAAAAAGCCAACGATTAATTCATGAACGCGTCACGCGTCACTCGGTGTTAAGTTACGAGAGGAACTGCACGTTATAAGGAATAGTACAGGGAACGAAGTATGGTCGATTTACAACGATACATATTTCGAAATATGAACATTTTTCTCGTAAAATCAATAAAACTTACTCATACCCTGTGTATCCGTTGTATTTTCTGGCGATTTCTGCCGTTTTAAGCTTGCTTTACCATCACTGTTGTTCACATCATCTACTTTTATTACGTTGATAAAATCTGTTCAGACATCACACCAACCAACTCGCGCGCAAAGTAAGAAGACTATATTGAAGGCTTGAAATAATATTGCGATCGATTTTCATCAAGAAATGGGCCAGGAATATTCCACAATAGTGCAAATAATCATGAAGGCGGATTGCAGAAAAGAGATTGCGTGACGCTCGGTAAGCTGTAAGATAACATGTTCCTATATACCAGACGTAAAAACTCTTCAGATTCTTAGTCTGCATTTTGTACCCACTCTGCAGTCTGCAGTCTATATTTTGTATCCAGTCTGCAGTCTGCTGTCTGCATTTTGTACTAACAGGTATCTGTGGCACCAATACAGTTTATTTTTGGTTACATTTATTCGCAAAACACACATAATCTACCACAAAATACCTGTGAGTGAGGTAATTCGACATTTTCATTCTTTCCCACATTAATATTCTTCTCTCCTTTTGTAAGAATGTAGACATCACTCACAATGTTTCAAGTAAGCCACCCACCCTACTAAAAAAGGAACTCTTGCACGCATAGCATGCCTATGTTTTGAAATAGGTGTATGCCCTTGGCCAGACTTGAGCGCACTATTTCAGTAGACTAGTCCGACACCCGAAGTATCACTACACTTGATTCCAAGGATCCAGTACCATCCAGGTATCCCAGTTACCCTGCTCACAGGGTCTAGTTCACTAAGATTTCTCTGTTTTCCTATTTTTTCCTTTGCATGTGCTTTGTCTTGGATTTCATAGAATGGGACCCAGACTTCTTACTACTTTTAGTGTTTGTTTGTACTGCTTTAGCCAAGTCATGGGTGCGCTTCCTCTTGGAGGTTGGTTCTTGTAGTTGTACTGGTCGCCCTTTTGATACAACCTGACGGCTTCCACTACCACACTTTCGTTTTCTGTTGGGCTGGACTCGGATCTTTTTTCCATTTCCGGTTTTTTTCACCTCACTGGACCCAAAAGAAAAAAGGGCGCTTGCCAAATTAGAATGCATAGATCTAGCAGCGGTTAAGGATGTTACCCTTTTTGCAAACCTGATTACACCTTTGGCCAAATTAAGGTCTCTTGAGCTTTGGAGCTTTTGAATTATTTGTTCACAAGAGTTTCTCAACAATTGTTCAGCATTTGCAATGGAATCATCCTCATCATCATCATTGCTCTGTATTGGTTCAGTGGAATATTCATCCTCATCATCATTGCTCTGAATTAGTTCAGCAGTTGAGCAGTTTGGCCCTTGTTGTGCTATTTCCATACTAGTGGATGCCTCTGTTACAAAACCATTAGAACCATCAGTTTGTGATGTTTGTCCAGCATCACTAGAGCGTAATGGCTTATAACAAGCAACAGGAAGTGTCTTTCCTATTGCTAGCCAGGCCAATTTCTGCCTCTCATGTGGGTTACTGACTGGAATGAAGTTTATGCAGTCTGCTAGATTTGCCACCCACAGGACATACTGGTGTTTGCATGGGCTCCCGTTTTTACCAACTGTGCAGGTACATATCCCAAGAGTCATGTCCACTGTATAACTGACAAAGAACCAATGAGACAATTCATAAATATCTCAATACAACTGGAATTTTTGTTTTTTCAATCTGTAATAGATACATCCTAGACCTTCAACTGGTTGATCCACTAAGATATTAATGGAAATATTCCTAACAGCAGAGTAAGGACTTGTTCTTACTCTGC